TCATGTAGTTGTAAACAGCATGATAATATATTAAGTAATCCAAAGTATTCAGAATACGTTACTCTCATTGAGTAACGTAACGGAATACATTACAGGATACATTTTGGGGCATGTATTCTGTAATGGAGTAACCTTCCCAACACTGTCAGTTAGCCATACATCTTGCTTTGTAACTTTAGTATTTATGGGATCACACAAAATGAATGTTAGCTTAGATTCTGTCCAGGCTGTTTCCTCGTGCTGTGTTTGGCTCGCTTGAACTGGTCTTGCTCTTCCTGCTTGCAGGTCTTATCCTGGATCCACCCGGAGTCTCAGGCCACCATTGTACGCTGTAGCCAGCCGCTAGTTGGGCCGTCAGACCGTCGCTGTAAAGAAGACGAACGCTTTCTCCAAATCATCATGGACGCCAACGCTCAGTCCCACAAGCTCACCATCTTTGATGCCCGACAGAGCAGCGTGGCCGTCACCAACAAGGTGCAGCACAGAGCGTTTTAACCACGCTGCTATAGAGACATGCTTCTCATCACTGCTCACCCTTACGTCACTTATTAACACGGAAATCTCTCTTTTTCTTTTGGACTCCTCCGCCCTGGCCTCCGCTGCCTCCATCACATGCAGGGAAAGGATGGAGGGTATGAAAGTGAGAGTTTCTACCCCAACGTAGAGCTAAACTTCCTGGAAATTCCAAACATTCATGTGATGAGGGAGTCTCTCAGGAAGATGAAGGATGTCGTTTATCCCACCATAGACGAAGCCCACTGGCACTCCTTCATCGACCAGACGCACTGGCTGGAGTACATACGGGTAAACTACACAAACGCACGCCAGCCACATAAAAGAAGAAACAAGCTGTTTCCTTATGCAAAGAATAGATCTTAACCACACGGCCCTGTTGTGTTTAGCTGTTGTTAGCAGGAGCAGCAAAGGTAGCTGATAAGCTGGAGTCTGGGAAGACGTCGGTGGTGGTTCACTGCAGCGACGGCTGGGACAGGACAGCCCAGCTCACCTCTCTGGCCATGCTGATGCTGGACAGTTACTATCGCACACTGAGAGGCTTCCAGGTGACACACACCAACTACACACTCCAAACCTCATCTTTGCATGTAGTAACGTACTAAACATATATGTGCTTGTGTTTGCAGGTTTTAGTGGAGAAGGAGTGGATTAGTTTTGGACACAAGTTTGCTGCTGTAAGAGCCTGCTACATATAATATTTGTTGGTTTGCTTTATATCCCTATTTTTTACATAACAACATAATCTGGCATCAACATGCAGTCATTTACATAGTTACCTGGAATGAAGTACATTCACGGACCGTTGCTTTTCATGTATTTGCTCCAGTGTCGCTGCATATGTAAACAAGTTAGTGGTGCAGTGATGCATTTGCTTCACATGCAGAGATTCCGAGTGCAGGAGGAGAAATACTTACGAGAAGATCTGTCGTAAAAATCTGCACCATATTAAATATGCATGCCTTGTTGTTAAGGAAGCAGCCAAAAGAAGCTTTTAGTTGTGTATGAGAAAGCAAACGATACGACTCAACGTTAGGCATTCTTTACCTCGCCAGCTCCACAGTTAGAAGTCTGTCAGATAGTTTGCAAAATTAATTAATAATACTAATTAATAATTTGAAAATAGGGCAGGAAACTGAACGGCAGATGCAGAGCAAAGGAAAAATTGATATGTTTTATATTTTAGGTTCCAGCCTTTGCTTTGTTGGCAGCGCTGCAAACCCTCGGCCTTCTCTCAGTGAGCTTCATGATGTCGTCACCTGACATGTTTCCCCTCACAGGTGTGCCTGTCAGGGCTCATTTGTTGA